ACCAGTGTTTATTAACATTCATCTCCCTTAGCTCCATCTATGCTTAAATCGATGAAGAGCCAAAAATCCTTCCCAAACCTAGTCTCCTTATAAAGGAGAAAAGTTTAAGTCATCTTTAGTTTAAGGTAACTCTATACATTGACCAACACAAAAATATCTTAATATGCCTTAAAATAACATTATGTCTAATACTTTTACTTCCATTTTATTATTAGTGATACATTAATTATTCACTCACTGCCTATTAATTAAAACGTAATGCATTAGATTCATTAAAAAAATTAATAAGATGGTCTTTCATATCCAAGGAGCTTGCTGACCTCTCTATATAAATAGCATTCTAAAATATGCATTGATAAAAATAATTAATTGTTAAGGTGTGGCAAGAATTATTCATTATTTACAACAATGACTCACTCATTTTGTCATATTTTCTTTTACTTTATTCTTCTATATACCAACAAAAATATTAATAATGCTAATATATTTAACAATTTACATGGTATTATAGATTTTCTAATTCTCTTTCAAACATTGTCATATTTATTAATATTGAGAAAAAATTCCAACACACAAAAGATATAGATATATGGTGGATAGATAGATGGATAGATAGATAGATAGATAGATAGATAGATAGATAGATGATAGATAGATAGATAGATAGATAGATAGATAGATAGATGATGAATATGCACCTATAAGTACCTATGCAGTCTTTGTAATTTATAACCTATTTCTCATATCAAATTTTGTAACCATAGAGCAGGAAAGAAAACTAAAGATCATTAGTTGATTTTTAATTCTCTCATGATTTTCTCTAAAGGTCCTTTTCTTACTTTTAAGTGTTGCAGGAGGATTGTTTGTATTCTGTCAATCATGTTTTAAATAAACACTGATTGGCCAGGCAGGAAGTATAGCCAGGAAATCCAGACAAGAAGTAGAAATGATGCAATGAGAACAGGAGGATTCTGGGAAGGAGGAAGTTGATTCTTCCCAGTCCTGTGCAGACCACAGAGGAAGCAGGATGTGACCTTCCAACTGAAAAAGGTACCCAGCCATATGTCAAAAATAGATCAGAATAATGGGTTAAGATAAGCTACAAGAGCTAATAAGCAGCCTGAGCTAATGGGCCAAACAGCTTTATAACTTATAGAGATCTCTCTGTGATTTTCTTGGGGGCTTACCGGCTGTGGGGTACCTGTCGGGACAAAAACCCCGGACAAGCCAGCCCCTCTTGTTACATTTTAGCATGAATTCAAACCCTCCCCCCCCTTTTTTTTGATTTTCGAGACAGGGTTTCTCCGTAGCTTTTGGTTCCTGTCCTGGAACTAGCTCTTGTAGTCCAGGCTGGCCTCGAACTCACAGAGATCCGCCTGCCTCTGCCTCCTGAGTGCTGGGATTAAAGGCGTGAGCCACCATCCCCCGGCCCTTTCCCATGTTTTGAAATGACAAATTCATGTTTTCAAAACTCAGAAACAAACGTTGCATTAACTATCTCTGTGGAAATCTTGCTACAGACAAATAGGGCAGTTAGTGTCTGAACCATCATGGATGGAAGAAGGAGGCAGAGACATGGACATGAAATAAACTGAGATGAGTTGTTTATCAACATTACTTACAACTGAGCTGGAAGATATCGAAAATTTTTGTTCAGGCCATCCAGGGTTTTCATATCCTGAGGAGACAACTGGAATTCAAAAACCTTCAGGAAAACACAAGGGTTTTAGCATTTGAATGAATCAGAGTTTATGCCTCAAAAGCACTGTGATTAGTATGTATGCACCTAAAAATGATGAACAATGTTTATTAAAGCATTCATGGTTATTAAATACCAAGTAATAATGAAAGAAAACTGTTTTGAGATATATTAAAATTGCACAATGCTATAAACAAGAGGAAATCTCATAGTCATTTTGAGTAAAAACAAAAGCAAACAAACAATCAAACAAAAACAGTACATTTAATTTCACATTAAAAACCACAGCACCACGTAAATAGATTCCAAGAAATAATACATCAAACAGTGATTTGCATAGAGAGTTAAATTTTATAATCCATCAACGAATCATTAAAATGTAAACAATTGCTCTTTTCAACATGATGTATGTAAAGATTTGTTCAAATTCTAAAATTTGAGACACTTTAACTTCAAAATGATTTTCGCTAATTGTTCACATTTATTTTATAAAATTAGATCCAATTTTATTAAGGATTTTAAATTACATATTTTAGACTTCTAGAATGGAATAGAACCATTTGGGGACTGACAAATTGTCATAATAAACACTGATCCCCATGTCCAAAACACGTTCCCATTACACAACAAAAAGCAGCTACTTGATCACTTTGGCAACAGCTACTTCCTACTTAAGGAAGGGAAAGACTGTACTAGCTCTTAAAGTTCACTGAAAACCAGATTCTAACTTTAAATTACAAATTTTAATGTTCAAGAAAATAAGCTGTGTTTAGATGAACTATGATTACAGAAAATAGCACAAACCATCTAATAGAAAGCAACCAAGTCATTTTCAAAATAAAGGAAATTATATAATTGGTTAAGGATTTCCAGTAGTTAAAAATTTCAGGAAGAGGTTAGTTATAGAATGTCTTCACATCCTAAGACATTAATAGTAAAATTTCACAAAAGAACTATCACTTCTCCACAAAAGGGAAAAACTATACGTAAATTTTATTGACAACAGGAACAATAGGAAAGACTGATTTCCAAGTATGAATGAGTAAATGTACCCTGTGGAGCAAAGTTCCTTCCCCCAGAACGAACAGTAATTAGCCTGAGATATTTTAAACGTGGCTCTTAGCATCTAAAAGTTAAATGTCATCATTCCCTGCAATGGTCTCATTACTTCTTTGGGATTTATTACAATGTGGTCACTGGAAATACCCAAAGTGGGGAAAATCTAAATAAAAGGCAGAAACCCTTAAATCTCTGGAAGAAGGCAGAAACTCCTAAATCTCTGGAAGTTATGTGTTAATTTCATCCATTCCCACTAGAATAGAAGCTATACACTCAGATCTAGGATAGAAGTGTTTAATCTTCATTTGCCAGTTCAATGATTCTAGCTCAGTGTAAATATAATGCTGACCATCCCAGTGAAGTATGAGACTGTATGGAACTGAGGGAATGCTCAATCAGTCTACTGAGCTTAGGAGGCCTCATTGTGTTGAAAAATGTACAAATGTTCCTTAAATATATGTGAAGCAACTTAGCATAGATAGATAATTTTCACTGACTTCAGGCTAAAGTAAAGCAAATTTAACAAAAAAGAACACTAAGATAAATAAATTATTCATAATAATTTTCTAATTAAGAATGGTATTATTAGTAATTACTAACATTTTATACAATTATAAAGTATATTTGAAATTTTGAAAATATCAACTTGGGAGAAACACAAACTTACAGTTAATCAGTGTGTGTGTGTGTGTGTTTGTGTGTCTGTGTGTGTTACAATATATGAGCATGCAATGAAATAATATTAAAACTATAGAAATGTCTAGAATCAAATTTACTCAGTCCAGATGCCTCATTTCAGAATATAAGGAGGAGGTCCATGAAGAGATGTATGCAATACTTGGCTGACAAGGCAAAGCAAACTCTAAATCTTCTCCAACACTAACTCTGTCAAGTCATGCGGTTGTTTATGTCATAGACAAAACATTTCTCATGCACCTGAAAGTTCATATGTACACAAAATGCTAGAAATATAAGTTTCATCTCAAAAAAGTTCACAGACATTTAAAGGAAGAAAGCATACGGAAGATACTAGGTAACAACCCTAAGGAGCAGAGCTCATCACCTGCAAATTCTCTTTCATCTCATTTTCTTTGAAACTCTGTGCCAGGGGCACAACCCCACGCTGAAGCAGGTATCGAAGAGCAACCAGGGCGGGACTTCGATTGTTCTTTTTGGCCACATCACAAAGAACTGGATCATGCAAGAGAACTGGAGAATTCTGATCCACCCTAGTAGGAAAGCAGAAATAAGCTCAAGAAGCCAAAGATTTGGGTTAGTTATAGTGCTACAAAGCACAGTAGAGAGTACATTCTAGACTAGACATGATGGTTATATATAATTATCAACTAAACTTGGTCATGAATCACCTAAAAATGTGCCTCTAGAATGCCTTGAGAGATTATCTTATTATAAAAATTGATGTAGGAAAACCCATTTTAATTATAGGTGGGATCAAGCAAGGGATCCTGGACTGTATAAATGGAAAAAAAAGATCAGATCATTAGTATTCATTTGTCATTCTCTGCTTCTTGATTATAATGAGAAGAAACCACTTGCTTCCAGCTTCTGACACCCCGTCTTGCCTGCTATTACGTTCTGTACCCTAGAATTGTGAAACATAGTCAACACTTTCTCCCTAAGGTTGCTCTTTTCAGAGCATTATTTTACAGCAATCAGAAGACAAAAAAAAAAAAAAAAAAAAAAGATTCCAGGGATACACAGAAGTCCCTGAGCTACCAGCTTCTGCTTCACATGGATCTTCTAAAGACAGCTCTCTCTACCTAACAGCTGAGTAGCGTGATGTTAATTGACAGTCGTGCTTAAGGTACCCGCTTCATTGTATTACCCTTCTTTATATCGTTGGGTTCCCAGAGCACCATAAGCAACCAGAACAATGTCTTTTGATTTACAGTAATCCAGCAGCTTACTCTGGTTTAAATACAGATGACATTCAACCTGTGAAAGGATATGACAGAGATTGGATTATATCAAATGCTCAAATTAAGACAAATAAAAGTGTTTAAAGTCAATAAAGTAGACTAAGAAAATTATGTGCAATATCACATTTGAATTTAAAAGATCAAACTGCTGCAATTTTTAGTGAAAAAAAAAAGAACTAATTTTGGAAGATTCTGTAAATAACTTTTGGCTGGGCAAGTTATTGGGTCAAATAATAGCTAGTGGTCAGTAAGGCAGTTCAGTGGGGAAAATGTCAGCTGCTAAACTTAATAAAATCATAAGGAAGGACTACAGGAAGACTGAGAAACATCTAAGTTTCACATAATTCCTGTCAACACAGTGATTTTTTTTTTTAGCTCAGGCATTCAGAACAGTGTCCATGCCTACTCACTACCCTCAGTTCAAGGGGACATCACTTTCCTCTGCCATCAGCTTCCACCTGCTGGACCAAATTTAAATCTACACTTTCTCCATAAGTTGGGTACTATATAGTATGTCCCTATTCTTCCCAATACTTAAGAGTACACGATAAAGTTTAGAATCCCCCATATCTTTTCAACCAGCGACACTGCTCTCACAATCTTCTTTTCCAAAGTATGAAAATCACTTGGACAGAGGACAAATGAACAGTGTCAGTAGTACAGGGTGAGGAAAAGCATGAGAGATGGGGAGGCAATGAGAATCCTTACCTGATTGCAGACAGGCTTGTACTTAAGCCCTGGCTTATTCAGGATTCTCTCTAACTGCTTGTGGTTAAAGTTGGACACCCCAATAGATTTGACCAATCCTGCATCCTTACACTTCTCCAATGCCTGGTGATGAGAAAAGGGTTATGAAATGTCATACTTGCAATCACTACTTAATATAAAGAGAAGTTGAAGCAGTTACAAAAAACTGTCAAGAGCTGGACATGTAATTCTGTATTAGAATACTAACCTGTGTTAAAAGGCCCTAAATTTAACCAAAGACACTAAAATATATGGAGAGGAATGTATTGCCCAAATGATCATAGAACTTAAATATGAAGAAGTCAAGATAATGATGATAATGGTGAATATGGTGTCAGCCAAGGAGGAGTTTTTATGGCATCACTAGTAAACTAAGGATGCCACTACATAATGTGGCAAAACAATACATATTTCTATTATCCTGAGTACTTCTTCTCTTTCCCTCCCTTACATTTTAGTAATGCATTCCTCCCCTTTAATTCCAGCAAATATGTGTAAATAATTTCTATACCCATAGGAAAATGCTCTGATTCTCCCTCCTCTGCTTGATTTATTGTCCTTTTGAAAAGTACTCACCTCCCACGTGGCACAGAAATCCACTGTGTCCAATAGCAATTTCCCTTTTTCATCTACTGGAAAATCAATATCCCCTGGCTGGAAAAGAAGTATTTGTTAAAGAAATTTCACAAAACACTTGTCTCACCTCTAGTAATGTTTTTAAGAATATCCAGATAACTTAGTATTAAGCACTGGCGTCTCTTTCAGAGGGCCTGGGTTCAATTGCCAACATCTATACGGTTGGTGAGAACAATTTTTAAGCAAGACCATGGGGCCTAGTGCTATATTCTGGTTTCCAAACATACTACAGCATAGAAATATAAATAAAACATACAAACACATGAAATATTTTTTGAAAAATAAGGTCCATCTTTGAAATAACACAGTAAGCAAACATAGAGGAAGTGAAGCGTTCTCTTATACACTGCGTTTACAAGTGAGGAGTTGTAAAACTTTTCTTTAGGAGCCCTGTTTTGCTGTACTCTCTTATGTTACCCATAGGAATAATTAAATTTTTTCTTTCTTATAATTTTCTTTTTATTTTTGAAATTATAGTATAATTACATCATTTTCCTTCTTCCCTTTCCTCAGTCTAAAACCTACAATGTATTCTCCTGCTGGCTCTAAATTCATGGCCTTTCTTTCTTTAACTGTTATTACATACAAACACAGACACACGCATACATACACATATACATGCACACACACAAAATTACTGCACCTAAATAATATTTACAAACAACAAACTTAACTCTCCTAACTGACTTGTATTCTTTTGTCTACTCATATTTTGGAAAAAAAAAAGAAAATGTTTCAGTTTCACTGGGAAGCATGATCATTGCATGTCCTTGAACACCAGCAAGAATTTATATCAATCCTGTCCCAAGATAAATAATAAGTATGGATGCCCGTGGGCCCAAGGGCAGACATGTGAGCCAATGATGCTAATTAGGACTATGTGCTGGATTGATTGTGATAAGAAAAGATGCAGAGAAGCCACATNCCTACTCAAAAGTTTAGTAGCATAAATTTATATGAAATTATAATAGAAACTTGTCTCAATGATCCAAATGATATTCATGCCCACATGAAAAATATGTTCATTTGACAAAGAAATCGCTACCTTCATTGGCACTGGGTAGTGCATAATGTAAAGGTCAACATAGTCCAGTTGAAGCTTCTTCAGTTGTTTTTCCAAAGCAGGCTGGACCAGCTCTGGCCGAAAGAAAGTACACCATAGCTACAGACAGTGAAGAATGGAAGTTGTGATCAGTTAATAGATTGCCCAAACATGCAACTTATTTATCCTAATACTGAATTATTTTTGTACGTGAAGGAAAATTATAATCATTCACTTTAACACAGGATTTGCGTTACTCATACTTAACAGTGTGAAATCAGTTACATGTTTTTGTTATTGTTAGCTCATTTATTGAACAATGAAAAGTAGTTACTCAAGAAATAAAACACATAATACTAATAAAGTCTAATAACTAAATTTATTTCATAAAGATTATAATCTACCATTACTTTTTCTCACCCATTTGTACAACTGACACCTTTAACCAGCTTCTGATCAAGAAATATAATTTTAACTTTTTTATATATCTTTCAATAATTTGGCCACTTACATGCTATAAAAACTCTACCTTTGTAGTGATGAACATGTCTTCTCTCTTTATAACACCAGCTTTAATATTGTTTTGAATGGCCTGTCCTATCTCCTCTTCTACTTGATACGCATAAGCAGTATCAATATGGCGGAACCCAACACCTATAGCTAAGTTGGCAGCCTCCAGTGACTTGCTTTTGTGAACCTGAATAGCAAACAAAACAGGTATTTAGAGATACATCTTCTGAGTGGGCTTAGATGGGATTTGCTAGCCATAAAGAATTTGTTCTTTCAAAATTATCATCAGACAACAAGGCAAGAGCCTAGTCCTTTGATCCTTGAACCCAGAAAGCATGTCACTGGGTTACCTTTCTAGCTGAATCACTGAGTTCTAGACTCAGTGGGACAACCTACTCACAAAAGTAAAGTAAGAGTAGTGGAGGAAGACTTTGACATCTGGCATGCACAAATACACAAAAACATATAGTTATAGAACATATACAAAAAAGTAAAAAAGGAAATCAGACTGCCTTTTGATTATTTTAGTAATTTCTGCCCTTTTTCCATGATAAAGCACAGTGACTAAAATTCTGCCTTGTACCACCTTCTCTGAATCCCAGCTCTGACTTAGGTAAGAATAAAAATCACTCTGTGAGCTACCAACACTGATGGTTTAACAGGAGCCTTGAGACCTGTTGCTGTTTTTCTTTCTGTCACTTTGTAAAAGTAACTAATCTTGTATATGTCTCCAGATTTATTTTTGTAAATATGCATAAATCTAACAGAAAGGAAATATATGAGTTTGAAGTTAAGGGAAGTGGTCTATTGTCTCAGAATTTATAAGATTCAGGAAGTTTGCAAACAAGAAGGTCCCTCCAGGTTAAGTACACCTTGATAGTTTCAGTTCTGGAGACCACCATGCTCTAAACCCAACATGCATTAATGAAGACTAATAATTCACACTTATGGTTACCAGGTCCTCTTTGCCCCAATCATAAGGATATATTATAAATTCCAGTAAGTTTCCTACAGTTCAGAATTTGTATATGGGGAACTTATTTAGTTCTAGTGCTGCATTCACTGTGTGGTGCAGAAGTTTACCCAAAAACAAAACTGAAGTAAGCCTCAAATGCTTGTACCATGCAATACTACAGGTAGACACCCTGAGTTACCACACCGATTTCCATGAATTTTGCATTCTTAAAATGAAATATTAAGCTGTGGATTGTAGACATGAACAGAGAAGTCCCTCTCACTGCAACCAAGAACACTGATAGGCAATCTGATGACTTTCATTTCCTCTATCCAGCTCAGAAACATAGACACAGGAAAACCATAATCCATAGAATTTTTAGGTCATGGATATGTCCCTTGAAGCCCAGAGCTCAAAGCCTGAAGACTCATGCTGAGTTCACTCTTAGAACTGACAGACTCCAAACCAGAACAGTAAACTCATCAGCAGGTCTGTACCAGAAGAACAAATCGAAGGAAAAGAAAAAAAAAAAAAAAACAGCCACATTCACCCAAGACCAGAGAGCTTCACCTCTAACAAAATTAACCAGGGAACTTAAACAATCTTTCTCCCTACTCCTGAAGTCCCAGACTAAATTATAGTAAATGTCCAAAGGCCTTTGAGTCATATACCCTGTACTTCCATCACAAAAATCACTAACACCCACTCTCAAAGAAACCCTTCAAAGAGTTATACCTTCCCTTTGTTCTCCATTAAGCCTTTCTCTCTGCTGGATAACAAGGAGAAGTACAAATATGCGTAAAACCCTATTCTGACAGAATTCTGACTCAGCCTATCTAGGGAAACAGATTAGTCTCCTACCTACAACCACCAATTGCAGCCACTGCTGCAACCTCTTTTTAGTAGAAATAATAAACAGGTTGGGACTCAATCAAGCCCTGATGTAGGCCAAGCCAAACTATCTGCCTTCCTGTACATGGAATAGGTTTAGACTGGAAATACTTACATCTTGGGGTTTATAGGTGCCAAAACCCAGGGCAGGAATGAAGTGGCCATCGTTTAGTTTGACAAACTGCTGTTTGGAACTCATGGCTTGTCACTCCTCTGCCTAAGCACGTCCTGAATCTTCTGGTGCTTCTGCCCTAAAGTGGAAGTTGGGAAACATCATATATCACCTTCCTGTCTAGTGACTACCAAGTTGCACTCCCATTCTGGTGTTTAGCCCTTCCTACATCCTGGCTAATCTTTAACCATTTCTACTTTTTAGGAAATGATTAACTAGTACTATTGTCTGAGCAATGGTTAAGCAATACTGCTGTATGCCTACTGTTTATGCCCTACTATTGACTGTCTAATGGTCAGGCAGCAGAAAGGAGGAGGCAGTTGTAGCATGATTTCTAATTGATCTTAACAATAAAAACCAGGAGTCAGAAATTAGGGGATGAATGCTGAAATATCAGAGAAGGAGAGCACTCAGCCACTAGTCCTACCTCCATGAAATCCTGAGACCAATGGGGTACCCTATCTCTGCAAGTCCTAAGACTGAACACTGATTCTATGAAACTTCAGACTCAAACCACAGACAGCGTTATTCTTTCCACCCAGCCGTATCACTTCCAATGCTGAGATTAATAGTGTGAACCACCACTACTTGCTTCTTTTCTTTTTAGACAAGATCAATGTCATGTATCCAGGTTAGCCTTAAACTCACAGAGGTCCATCTGCCTCTACCTCCCATGTGCTGGGATAAATGTGGTTGCCACTACTGGCTGACTCTCTCACAGAGGAATGTTAAATACCCCCACCCTGTGCCAAAATATTGTATGTCAGCCATTGAAAATGATATGCAAGCTCAATCAATAGTTTGCCATTATGTGGATGATATTTTACTAGCAGATTAAAATGTAGATACCCTAGAGAATTAAAGAACCTTTTGCATTATTGGGGATTACAAATTGGTCCTGAAAAAATATAAGGAGGAGATTTATTAGTTACTAAGGATATAAAGTGGGTCTATAAAAATTTATAGCCCAAAATGTGCAAATTAGAAAAGATCAGATGCAGATTATTAATGACTTCCAAAGACTGAGAGACATTGACTGTTTACAAACCACTTTGGGAGTAACAAATGCAGAAATAAGTAATTTGTCCAAGCACTGAAAAGTGACAAGGACTTAAATAATCTCAGAGAATAGTGAGCTGAAATGAGAGAGAATTGGCTTTGTTGGAAAAGAAATTTCCGGATATACATGTGGATCATTTGGATCCAGAGTTTCACTGCATTCTGGTTATTTGACCTTCTATGATTTCTCCAACAGAGATTTTAGAAGAGGGAAGATAACACCTTAGAATGGATATTTGTATGATGTAAGCAGTGTAAAAAATTAAAATATATATNACTCATTGTGGTCAGAAAACAAACATCGGCAAAGAGCTTGACGAATTTTGGGAGAAAGATTAACATCAAATATCCCAAAGACAAGAGAGGTCAATTAAAAAAAGAAATAACTGGATTTTCCTTCACATTGTATGGGGAACACCAATAACTGTAGCCCCACATTCTATCCTGATGCTAGTAAGTCAGGAAAGGCTGGTTACAAATCAAGAAATTTAAGTAAGTTGGCTCAAAGTCCGTATGGTTCTGTCCAAAAGTCAAAATTATATGCTATTCTCATGGTATTATTACATTTTCCAGAACTTCTTTTAACAGTTATTTAATTTCAATAAGCAGAAAGAGGGTTTTCTGCATACTGAAACTTTTGAATTTATACGAGATGATACAGAATTGACTTTATTGCTTATTCAGTACAGTAATAATCAGGAATAGGAATAATTTCACTTGGGGCAACTCAGGAGTACATAAGGATGGTGGTGCTGGGTAAAATAGACATGTGCCCCATGAAAAGGATTCTTTTAAGTAGATGACACCAGCTAATAAAACATATTAAATTTTGGAATCTTTGAATCATAGGCTACAATAAAAATACAACAATTTGGTAAAAGTTAGCACTGCAATTATGCAAAAACATTTATTTATTTATTTAGAGCTAAATTTAAAATGTTCAAAATTTTAAATTTCCTATGTTTTTTTAAAGAGTTTCAATGACCACTAAAATTTTTCATTATGCCTGGTACGCAAGTAAAACCTACTTATATAATAGCTCCATTTAATCAGAGTAATAAAAATGGACATTAAAATATTTCAACTCAAATAGAAACTTAAATAATTGTTAACTTTATTTAGTTATGAATATTTTAAGATAAAATTTTAAAAATCTATTATAATAGAACATAAATATTATAAACTTGGTGTTTTGCCTTAAACTTTGGTAAAAATAGATCAAGTTCTAAGAATGTAACCTGCTTTAAAGGGAAATAATAGGAAAAAATTCTGTAAATAACCTTTTGAAGATAACAAACATAACAATATAAATTTATTCCTATGGACTTTCTTCTTTATAAGCCTTATGTGGCACAACTATGTTAAACATCTATGTTAGTAAGATTTATATAACAACAGACATATATTTATGCTATTATTTCTGTTCAAATCATCACTTTATCTTCTTTAGTTTTTTATTTTGATATAAATAAGTGAAGACCAAATAAAATTTGATGTTTTAGGTCAAAGTATTCTGATATAATTCTGAAAATAATACATAAATCTCTTCAGATTTCCATTTGTATCTACAATTGAAATGAAGCCATCTTGGTTGTTTCCTAGATACTTATATTTATATAAACTCATATTTCTTGCCATGCTAATTACAGATGCCATGTATAGATGTCAGTTCCATCCATTATTTAAAAGGGATAGCATATCTATGATATGAAAGTCTAAGTCTGAGACTCCCTGTCTAAAGCAGAAACTCAGAAGTCACCTACTGGTAACATGGGAGTAGAGAGAGTCTGACAATAAAGAATATGCTCTCTTCCCAAGAAAGAGAAATTGGAAGGACAATGACAGTCACACAGGAAGTGATAGGGTAACAGGACACCTAAGAACCATGGGCAGACTGAAGTATGGTACCCACAGGAAGTCAGAGGTTACATATTCACTGCTGTACCCACTCACCAGGCAAGTTCCTAGTGAGAGAAATGACACAGAAGCCATAACTTAGGGTCACTGTCAGATAAAAGCCCACAACTCCTGAAAGCCTTGAATCCAGTTGTGAATTCTGGAAAGACCATGGCTTCTCTGATGTGATCATATGGTCAGCAACCATCATGAT